GATAAAAGCCTCCACCAATATGACGCTGTCAAGTTTCGAATCAGGTCGAAATATCCAGGGAATCTGCCTTCTGATACCACGCCTGATTTTGCCGATCATCTCTCTGACAGAGTGACACATGATATAATCAATTATGAACGCTTGTCCATTCAGCCGTCTTTGTTTTCTTATTACTAAATGTATAATAATTTATATATTTTTGATCTTTAGGTATTGGTCTGGTCTCATGAAAATGTTCAAAGCGTTGATTTTTTTTTTCTTTAGTGAGGTGTCTAGCAAAGTTTAATAGCCAAAGATATCGTTTTAACAGACAAACCTTTCATGAAAACGAACAAAAAGAATACTTAAGTTCAATGGACGGGAACTTCTTTTTTGGAGTTAGACTAACGTTTAAATTTGCTTTCTGTACGCGGCCATCATCATGGGTTGATGATAGTCGCCTACAAAACGGCTTGAAATATCTTCTATGATGAGGTAATTTTTGTTTTATATATGTAATATATATATATATATATATATATATATATATATATATATATTAAGAAATATACATAATATCTTACATAATATATATATTACACATATTTAATTGGCCCTGATCTGGCATCTCGTCTACAGTCGCTTTCTCACAGACGCGCCGTCGCCTCTCTCTGTCTTTTCTACAAATACTTTCATGGTAATTGCTCCGATGAGCTGCTTTCAATGGTTCCCAGACTTCATGAATTCAAGCGCCCTACGAGGCTGGCATCCCGCTCTCACTCTTTTACTGTAGAAACTTTTAAATGTAGCCGTCTTTTCTACTCCAATAGCTTCATACCTCGCACCTCCCGCCCGTGGAACGCCCTTCATTATTACTGTTTCCCTGAGAGCTATAATCTCCAACTATTCAAATGTAATGTCAATCGACATCTCCAGTTACCTTGATCTATCCACTATCCCTCTCCTCATCCTTTCTTCTGTCACTCCTATCTGCTCTTGCTCCAAATCTTCTGCAACCCCCTGCATCCTAGTGGTTCAACGCCTTGCTCGGGGCGTAATGCTTAAAAAAAATATTAAGAAATATACATAATATCTTACATTAATTGCACAAGTGTGACTTTCATGCAGAACCAATTTTCAAGTGCTGGAATTATTATATTCATTTTTATTTGTATTTTCGGTTAACACCGGTTTATATTTCTTAATATATATATATATATATATATATATATATATATATATATATATATATATATATATATATATATATATTTAAAAATAAATAATCAGCGGGACAATATTACGAAAAAATTCAAGAAACAGTTCAATCAAGAATTATTTAATACAATAGCCAATCAATAAAATAAAGCTGAAAATAAACTTAAGCAGTTACATTATCACGACAAAAACAATTCTATGGCATTTAATCCTAGAACGAAGCTGAGATATAAATACCAGACTTATACACCTTATATACATCCAAGCACGGAGTCACGGTGGAGTAATGGATAGCGGCTTGGATCGAGGAATCGGAGAGCCGAGTTCGAGTTCGAATTCCAGTCGAATCCATTACGTGCTAATACGCTTGGGAAAGGTGTGAATTATCTTTCTTCTCCCTCCAGCTATGGGTAAATAGCAGGACGGACTGGGTTCCATAGCCTTGGATGGCAACTGGTCTAGGCGAAGGAAAACTCTGAATTCAAAACCTGCTCTTAGATGAGGGTGAATGGAGTCTCTCTGAGCCTTGGTTGGCAATCCATTTAGTGTTGGTGTCACGATAAAAACACCCTTGATAGCCCTAGCGAAGCATCAAGAATTCAGCTATTTGACAAGATTATGAACTACACCAATCAAAGTATTGGTGAGTTCAATCTCGGCTGAGGCCGCAAGATGATGATGATGACATCCAACTAAAATCTTTGTGAAAAAGTTTGTAAAAATATATAAAGAAAATAATTATTTACATTCATGCTAATGCTCACTCCCATCATTGTTTTTATCACAATGTTTTGTACTCTCCGATTTTCTTTTAGAAAATTTCAAACTGAACCCTTTATTTAATATACGGTGGTAAATTATTATTATTATTATTTCCTTTGATTTCTGGCGTGTACATATTTCTTTCCGGGTCCCGCTCAGAGATCTAAGGTTAGAAATGGCGTCATGACACTTTCCACTGACATATATATATATATATATATATATATATATATATATATATATATATATATATATATAATAGATAAAGCCCTTCGTAAAGTGTGGGCTGTACTTGTGAGAATATTTTGTTGTATTTTTTTGAGGCATGGGCTTCCAGGAAACCCTTCAATTAGTCTACTGGAATCTTTTCCAACCAATCTTAGTCCTCCAACCACAACAGGGATTATTGATGTTCCCATGTGCCGCATTTTGGGTGGGATTTCGATTTCTTCTTCTTCTTCTTCTTCTTCTTCTTCTTCTTATTCTTATTATTATTATTATTATTATTATTATTATTATTATTATTGTATTGCAAGGGCATTGCTCGCTGTTTCTACTTCGTACAAGTCTCTACTGACTGTCTTGGGAATTGAACTTACAATTACTATGACACTAAATTTAAACAGTTTAATCCAATAGGCTATTGAACTTAGATGTCAGGGCCTTAAACATAGCAAAATATAGATATTATAATAATAAGGATATTCGAAAACGAAGTTATTGTCTATCAGTATTAGGATATAACTTTATATTTTAGGCTTATATATGTGATTGTAGCATTATCGGAAACACCCACACATTAACTTCCTTTATATTTACAATTATTTAATCTTTGATTGGAAAAAAATATCAATAAAGATAATAGATCAATACTACCCATTTAAGAATCCCAAAGAAATCGGATTTGTTATATGACAATAATTTTCAAGTAATATACCAGAAAAATTGAGACACTTTGTACTCCCAAACGAGCAGCTGTTAGCTTTTAATACGCAAGATCAATATATCAAAAAGAGATTATTACGAAATTTCTACACTGATAATAATATTACTACGATGTAAACTGATATCTTTACAGCGATTATCCTAATAACCTGCCCTGTACCATTCATCAATGAAAGTAGTGTCATTATCAATACTATCGTTTTGACTATCTCCATAGTAACCTCCAACCTTAAAGATTATTCCCCCAAATCTTTTGTTTTTGTAACCACACATTCATATTGTTTCTACAGCACTAATGTCACGTTTGCTATTTGCCAGGGGTCGCTCACGTCTTTGCAAAAAGAAGTGTCGGCCATGGTGCTTATTCAGCCACCACTGCCGTCCAGGCTGCCGGTCTCTCGGGCAGACTGCGCCTGCCGCCGCCGCCGACGACGCTCACTTTCTGTCGCACGTGACATTCTGAAAGTCCATATAAATGAAATTTAGAAGATTGATTGCACATTCTCGATACGGTCCTTTTTTGTAAGGCGGAAATTATGGGAAATGAGGCGTGTTGTCTTTTATTGCCTGATGCCCGTTTCTCGCTGGCTCCCCCCCCCCGGTTCGGCCTGACTGGCAGGCTTTAAAAAAAAAAAGAGACAGAAAGAGAGAAAATAGGTGTTTACTCTTTAGTTTGTTCATTGCCTTCGTTTGGCTTGGTTGACTAGAGTAAATTTTCAGACGTTCGAGACATAAAAAAAAAAAAAAAAATCACAAAAATATTCCTGTGGCGTAAAATAGAGTTAACGCTATTAGACGCTCTAATTAACTCATGATCTAATTGCAACTTTTAGATAATTTCATGAATCTTTGATGATTGTCAAAAGTATAACGCTTTTCTGGGTTTCGTCTTAATTGTCCTATCAAATTAGCCGAATTTTTGGCTTTTTATCTTACATTTTCAAGTTGGGGTTTGTAGCTCACAAGATCCATTGGGAATCAAAATTTCTAGATCGGTTTTATTTAAATCGCTGAAGCTTTTTGTATTTTTATTTTCATTTTTAAATCATTTGCATTTTGTTGCTTGAGATTTTGTAAATCTTTGTATTGTTCTTTTAAAGATGACTAAGATGTCATCTTGTAGCTGGTAGTCTTAAAGATGTTTTCTTTATTTTTTAAATAAACCGTTTTTATCTCTCTCTCTCTCTCTCTCTCCTGTTCTTTATATTTGGGAATTGTATTTTTCATGCTCATTGGATGGAGAATATATTTGGGGCTGAGGCGGTAAAGAAATTTGATGCGACTCCAAGTGAATACGACAAAACAGAAGACTATCTTTTAAAAGAATAAAACAATAAAAGAACGAAGAAAAGTTTAAAAAAAAGGATAATTAGTCAGGACATATAAAGACAAATGTAAAAGAAGAAAATGAATGAAACAATGTGATTAAAAAAAAAAAATAAGAAAGAACTTTTAATAATAATAATAATAATAATAATAATAATAATAATAATGCACTAATAATAAAAGAGTAAATATCAATGCCACATATCTGCTTGTCACTTTCCTGATCTTAACCAATTAAGCATGACCCTTAGGAGCTGATGTTCTGTGCATCACTGTTAAAGAACAGAGTAGTGAGGGAACATTATGACTGGATTTCGAGAGAGTTGTTTTATTTTAGGTTTGAAGGATGAAGCAGTCAAGGCAACTTCTGGAGTAATAACTGACTACTTGGGAACACCCTCAATCGAAAACAGTCTTAGCGGATTGGGTTATTCGATTGAAGTTATTTTTAACTGGATACTACCTGCAAGGTTACACAATGATCTTTTCAACTCTTATTATCATATCCATATCTCGCACATTTGGGTTAAATAGGCTTCCAGCATTTGAATTTAAAAAACAAACAGGATTTTCAAAGGTGTATTCAGAATTTAATTTTCAAAAAATAGATGGTGCTGGAAACTTTTGCTTACACATAATAATTTCTGAAAGAATTTCAATAGTTGAATAGAAATATATTGGTTAGTACTGAGATTGATAGACAATTTCTTCTCTCCACCTAGAAGGAAAAACATCTTCTGGGTTTCTATAATTTGCTCGAGGGATTGAATCTAGAAATGTTCAGGACATCCATCCATAGATAGATAGATAGATAGATAGATAGATAGATAGATAGAATGAGAATGATAATGAAAATACTCAATAGTAAATACTATATATATTGATAGAGCAACTGATGTAATACTATCCCGATAGATAAATATAAACAAACTGGAAAAGATTTGAATATAATGAAATTAAAAGATAGATAGATAGAAAGATAAGTTGCTTGTGATAAATTAGACAAGCAGAATATTGATATACAAAAATCATTGAGAGATTGAAAGAGAGAGAAATTCACAAAGAAACGTGCGTTGATCAATACAAATACATTAGACATATGAACACTTATAGATTGTTATTGATAAAGACAGTTCGGTAGATGGATAGAATTGTAATTGGAGTGAGAAGCTGTCTCTTTGAAGAGAATCTAGGCGAGTGATTAAGAAAGTGAAAAAACTGGACATTGAATAATATGAATAGATGATGAGATATTGAAATGGAAAAGTGACTGAAGAACCACAAATCTTGTAAAGATCTGGATTGTGGAAATTGTTATGAATCAAAAGAAATGAAAAGAAACATAAACAATGTCTTACAACAGACGAAAGAACGAAGAAATTCTTGCCTAAATTTCGTTCAATATCCATTTATTTACTTTTTTTTCTTTTTCATATTCTCATCTCAGCGTTTCTTGTGAATATAGTTTAGTTGTGAGCTAAGAAGGTTATCGGTGCTTGTTTGCTGTTACTCAATCAAGATGAACAAAGACATGGTGATATCGAAGGTAGAGACTTTTGTACAAGTTAATCTCTTACTTTTGAAAATTACAGCCTCTTCTCTTAAATATGCATTTCCCTACGAATACCCTTGCACAAAAGCAATTACCTATTACAGGAATCAATGCTTTTTCTTTATACACCGTGTGTCTACTCAGGAGATGGGAGATCACAATGTTCTGTTCTTTGTATCTCTTTTGTTATTTTCATAAACCTTGTTCCGACACCCATTTACTCAAGCTCAGTAAATATTTCATGCGTTGGATTCCTCTGTCCCTCTTGTCTTCATTCTTTCCCGTGATCATTAAATTTTCCAAACCCATTTTCCTCATTATATACACTAGAAATTTTAACTCTCTCTTCCTCTCTCTTCTATTCGGTCTACAATATCTTCAGCATCCTGCTGCAGAATCGCATTTCGGTTGCTTTAAGTTCTTCTTCATCTCTGGGGACAGTGTCCAGCATTTACTGCCATATAGGAGGATAGATATCACGTAAAAGTTCAGTAGTAATATTTTTGTTTCTAATGAAGTTTTTTTTTCTTAAAACTCTAATTAGTTTTTGGAATGCATCTTTGGCTATCCCGAATTTCAATCCCGAATTTCAGTGCCAAAATTTCCGCCCTCTGTTAATAAACTTCTCAGATAGTTAAATTTTTGTACTTGCTTAATTTTGGTATCTCCGATTTGTAATTTGCAAGCTTGCTAATTAGTTCCAACATATTCGTGGCGAACTTTATCGAACGCCTTTTTATAATCTATAAAACACAGGTGCACATCCTTCTGAATCGTTATTAGTATTTCTAATAACGTTCTGAGTAGGAATATAGCATTCCTTGTTCCAGTGTCTATGACGAACCCGCATTGTTCTTGTCCTGTTTCTGGTCTGATTCTACTGCGCGCTCTATTCATCAGAATTCGGATGATAAATTTTGTTAGTGTAGAAGAGAAGATGACTTACCTCATGTGGCAAAGTGAGCACATATAAAAGGAAAGGAAAAAGAAATATGGCCGCTATGACACCTTAATTTAAGAAAGACACGATTTCGGAGCTAGAAGAATTGGCGAGAGTCATTGGGTGTATGCAATTCTTTTACGAGATCAGCTCGGCATAAAAAAACACCACGCGAGAGAGAATAGACAGTTCGCTTGCGAATGTGGTGCTGCTTGTACGGAGAGATATTGTCATTTGGAATGAGATTACTTGGGTCAGTTTCACACATATTGCTCATTAGGCTGATTGTCTGACGGAGTTCACATTAGTTGACACCTGGTCTCAGTGCTATAAGAATATAGCTACCTAGGTTTTCCGGTATCTCACCACTGTTGTAGATTTCATTTATTATTTCTGAAATCTTGTCTATACGGAAATCATCTAAGGCTACCAGCACCTCTTTTACAATTTAGTCTGGCCCTGCTGCTTTGTTTCTATTTAGTTTTGCTAGTTCAGATTCCACTTCGATATTTTTTTATTGCCGGTTATTCCCTTGGAAGATTTCTCCGATACATTCATTCAATCTCTGAAGTATTCTTTCTTTCTCTAATATTACCGTTCTGTCATTAGATTTTATGCATCTTTGTTATAAGCATATCTTTTGTCCTGTTAGTTCCTTTAATTTTATGAAGATCTGCTTCATCTATGATACTCATTCTTTCTATTTCTGCACATTTTTCGTTTAGTTTAGCTTGCCTGCATTTGGTTCTTATTTGTGTAGTGTCCTATATCCTGTTCCGCGTCTTGGCATTATTTTTTGTTTGCTTTTCATCATGCCGAGAATTTCATCTGTCATCTATCCCTTTTTCTTCGTCTAGTTTCGTTAAGGATGATCTCGATTGCTCATGCTTCTAAGGCTTCTTTTAATGTGCCACAGTTCGAATTTTTATATTGATTTTGTTCCTCGAATCTGCTTTTCCCAATGTCCATATATTTCTCCTTCATTACGAGTTCCTAGAACGAATTTGATAACAATTTCACTATCTCTCTCTTTCCCTTCTTTCGCATTAGATCTCCTATTACAGCTGTAATTAGCTGCGATTTGCATTGGGCCTTGGCGTTGTCCGACTTAAAATAAAACCTTTTCAATTTCCTCTTTTGTATTTTGTGCTGTTCGTGGGGGATATGTTGAAGGAGTTAAAGAATTATTTTAGGTATTTGACTATCCCAGAACACATTTTTTCGTGCCTTGGTCCGTCCAATATCAATCCTAATCCTCTTTCATTTTTCTCTCCGCCTGCATACATGATCCTGTGTTGGCCACTAGCGAAATCTCCATTGCCTGGCCATCTTTTTTCACAAAGGCATAAAATATTAATATTTAACTTGCTCATTTCCTGCTTTATATATTCTAATTGACTGCATTGATTTAATGTTTTGATATTCCATATCTCGCGGATATATATATATATATATATATATATATATATATATATATATATATATATATCTGTTTGTTGCGAACAGTCACTGGATGAGAGTCTGGTAAAACCTGTTGGTCATGTCTTCGCTTGTCGGGTGAAGGATCGATTTAAAAAAAGGTTTGGTCCTCTTTACGCCATTTAGGCTAACAATCACTGAATGACGATCAGGTGACCCTGTTGCGCATGTTGTTCCTTACGGAGCGAGGAGTTTATTCCAATAGACTTGGCACGGTTCACCATATTAGCTTTCACAATTTCTTTGTTAAATGCCTTGGGATTTCTTGAGATTTACAGTGGAGTGTTTTGCCGTTGCCTTCTCCAGAGTGATTTATTGAGACACCACCTTTAGTTAGCTGACCGTTCATTCGCCAAGAATTCTTCTGCTTTTCATAAGTCTTATTTTTCATACTACAGCCTCATTAACAAGAACTTGGAGTTCGATAGAGGGTATGGTCATCGACCCCCCTAGAGAAGCATACATACTTACGGCCATATTATGTCAGCATATATATATATATATATATATATATATATATATATATATATATATATATATATATATATATATGCGCGCGTGTGTGTGTGTATACAAGCTTAAAGCCGGCCTATCGATTGTCATTTAATCTTGGCTGCTGAGGAAGGCTCTTGATTAGACCTTCAGCTTGTTTAAGAGTTTGAGAGTCCCTAAGTCTTTGCATATTTTCAGCATTGGAAGCTCTCCTGGCTGCCATTTGATCTGGGTTTTCATTTGCATGGGACTTTCTTTTCTAGTTGCAGCCTTGACTCTTTTGATTGCAATCTGGTCCTCTGTTAGCGGAGATTTATTTTTGCGCGACATACTGCTGCCGTATGCGATAGGCAACAATAAACTACAGAAGAAGTCAAAATTGATCGTTGAAATTAAGTATTGTATTAATATTTAAGCTTACCTTTTAAAAGTTCAACGATAATTCGTCTGTCGCCACTTAATTTAAAGATAATTTGATGTACGTAGGTCCTTACTTTCCGTACAAACTTTCGCTGGATTTCATTGTTAATTGATTATTTACAAATTTATTTCCAATTTGTAAAAATTGTTATCGTAGAAAAAATCGTCGCAAAAATTCACGTAAAAAATGGCCGAAAACAATCGCAGTAATAAAAACTTGGGAATCCAAAATTTCTGTAACATGAGATATTGAAGGTTGAAGAGTTGTGTCCCTTTAACTCGAAAAATATCTCACAGTGGCACACTGATATTCGCATTTATGATATATATATATTTATATATATATATATATATATATATATATATATATATATATATATATTGAACAATAAAAAATTAAAAAATTAAAATCTTCAGACACACTGGGTTGTAGATTAATATTCTCGTTTTTTTTATTATTATTTCATTTAGATTCCTCGACTAGTTTCGGCCAAAATGGCCATCATCAGGAGAAGAAATATTTCTGCTTGCTGGTAGCAGTGAACTACAGAAATGAATGTCTTGATGGAGAAAATGAACTTTTGTCTGTAGTTTTCATTTTTCGTTTTTTTTTTTTTTTGTTATCTTTTTAACATGAATCTTTTAACATTCTTTGTGTTGGTCAAAATATATATATATATATATATATATATATATATATATATATATTTATATATATATATATAGACATAAACTTGAATTTCAGATTCTTTTTTGCATCTTTTCTATCTTCTAGCCCCTTGTGTCTATCAGTGAAGGTGATAGGGGAGAAGTATAGCTATAAATGTAAATTATTTCATTTTTTTGTTTTTATTAAATGTTACGTTAGTATTAGCTGCGTTACCTCCTATTAAATTAAAACGAGCGAAAAATTAATTTAATTTTGTTACAGCATTTTTAAAGCACTTATTTTAGTGTAAGGACGCAAATGAGATTTTTTAACCGGATTCCTTGTCACCGAAATGAGCAATCAGTTTGTAAATACGATACATGAACGAAGCTAGCCGCAAAAAATTAACAGTACTACTTAATTACAATTGCAACAAGTATATTTCAACTAGAAGGAATAATAATAATAATAATAATAATAATAATAATAACAAAATATACCTTCTTATTGACATGGCAGTTCCTGCAGACTGTAATGTATCTTTGAAGATCTTCAAACAACTATCAAAGTACAAGGACTTTGAAATCGAAATCTCTGAAAAGTGGCACATAAAGACATCAACAATGCCAGTCGTAGTTGGAGCCCGGACTCTCATTGGAAAAGTTTCGATAGACTCATTGAAGGTATTCCTGGTAACCTTAATGTAATATAAAAAAAATGTACTCACATCATATGAAGGGTTATATCTATATAAAATGTGTGTGATCTTAGTTTTCTTTTATAAATGCTCTGTGGTCTCCGGTTGGGACCCGGAAAGATATGAGTATACATCAGAAAACAAGAAATAATAATAATAATAATAATACCCGAGGGAGGGAGAAAAATATACAAAATAAAGCACGCCACTTACATACGAAAATGTTTACAGAGCAGTCTGTTTTGGTAAAAAAATTGAGCTTTTTATGAACTTGGAATCACTTAAAGAGAGAGTGAGAGTGAATTAGGTAGATACGAGAGAGAGAGAGAGAGAGAGAGAGAGGGGGGGAGAGAAATGATAAGAAAAAAGACAAAGAGGCGCATACATTGGGCGGCAAAGATTTAGTGTGAAGTCTTTTGATAAACACATCATTGCAAGAGAGAGAGAGAGAGTTGTTTGGGCCTGTGAACAGTGATTTTATTTTAACATATTTATCGATGAATAATCTACACATGCATCAAGATGCATGTTGCGTATTACATTTGCCACATTCATTTATTTAATACAATTCCAATAAAACAATTCTCTGGGTTATTATTTTTCACTTTTATTTCATGACGCATAAATGACCCTTCTAAGGAAAAAAACAAATCAAACAAAAAAAAAAAAAAATGATACTTTGAATGCACATCATTACCTTCATTATTTATATGTTGATCTATTCCATTTTATTTTACAGAATAAAGCATAAGTGATATATATGAATTTCTAATGGCAAGAAATCTAAATGTCAACATATATGAATTCGAATGTTACGTGGTAACAGTCGATTTAAATTCGAATGAACGTTGAAATAGCGGAAGATGCCTTCCAACTTTAAACAAAGTAATGAGAAACAGAAAAAATGTTTCTTAGAAACAAAGAAAAGATTTCTGAACCTAAATGTTGGCCAGTTTCCTCACAAATGAAGACGAGGCTTGAAGCTACAGAATCTTCCTAATTGTGTTTTTTTTTTTTGTCATATTCTCTCACTTAGTAACCCCATGCTTCTTAATGGCTTTATTGACTTACTTGGGGTGAAATGATTAAAGAAATAAGTTAACACAATTACGTATGTTCCATTTGATAACTTAAACAATATATCAAATTCAGATGCGTGGTAGAAAGCATATGTTTTCGCCCCAAATATTTTTATCTTCATTGGAACCGTTTAAAATGCTTACATTTAATTTCTATATTATTTGAATCTTGTTACCGCAAAATATGATTTTTGAATTTATTGCATTCCTTTATACATGTATGAGCCTAACCTTAAGAACAATAAGACCTAAAATGGTATGTTGAGTTTAATTAGAAAACTTTGCACGTTTTTTACTTAAGGAAGTTTCAGCAATCAATCATGTGAGAAAATGCAATGTCATGGATTTAAAATCAATGAAAATGAAATACTAGTCTCATAAATGAATATTGAATACGTGAACATATAAACGTTATTTTCTTATTGAGAAAGGTGAACTTTTGAAGGTGTAATTTATCAAGATTAAAATCTTTCAAAACATTCTTTCGAATATTTAACCAATCAAAATATGCCAAGGAAGATGATCTATAATATCCATATGCATTCCAATATCCATTTAGATAAAAAGCAAAAATGCAAAACAAATATACAAAACTAAAAAACAACAACAAAGAAACAACAAAAAATGAAACAAAATAAAAGTAAATCCTTTCTTCTCTCTTATTGTAATATGATACCATTTTTTGTCAGTAACCCTACATTTTCAAAGAGGCACGAATTTTGCTAAAGGTCTACAGCAACAAAAAGTGGGTTGATTGTAACAAGTTGAGTAAGCAGACGTCAAACAATGTTTAAAAAAAAAAAGAAATAAAAAACAAAAAGCATAATGCAATGCGATAAGTAAGTCCGAGTGTTGTTCAAATACGAACCCATATAAGCACGTCGAATGATTTTCAAGGCGTGTTAGACACGAAAAGGAAAAGAATTTTTTTAAGATCTCGGGTTGCTCTGAATCCATTGTTAAATGAACATTGCATGCAAAAAGAAACCGAGCAAGTTTACATAGTACATATAGTACACATTACATAGTACACATAGTACACATTACATAGTACACATAGTACACATTACATAGTACACATAGTACACATTACATAGTACATAGTAAAAGTTTACATAGTACACATTTACATAGTACACATTTGGTAAATATCCGAAACTAAACGAACGGCATGGAATTACTCAATGATGAAGTTCAAGACGACATTTCATTTAAGGTTTCTAGCAAATAAGATTTTCAATTCATTTTGTGGCAGTCACTTTGACACACAATCTTACTGAAACGAACAATCTTTTTCTTTCTAATTTCCTTATTTTCATATAAGTATTCCTTGAGTGCAGCCAGAGATTTTTTTAATATGATCAATTCCTGATTCACCTAATAATCAATGCAAAATCAATAGGTTGAGATAAAATAACATTTGAATAAGTAAAGTGCGTTTATTAAAGAGATGAGAAATAATTTAAAGTACTCTGGAGTAAAAGAGTGACTGCAAGAACAGAAGTAAGTCATTTAAACACGTGTACACAACGATTATATATATATATATATATATATATATATATATATATATATGAATGTACTACGGTTAAGTTTTTTATTTAATTTTTCTTGTGTTCGAACAAGATCTTTCTTTTCTGGACAAAACCGTAGTACCTTGCCTGTCGTTTTTAATGAAACATGCATAAACGAAGGATTGCTGCCTAAATATGCAACTATATATATATATATATATATATATATATATATATATATATATATATATATATATATAATGTGTAATGTGTGTGTGCTATATTAAATAGAACTGACAATATCTATTGGTCTTTTGTTGAATTTATTATTTTACCGAATTGTTTTATCGTAGGTGGAAATTTGACGAAATTCAATATTATGATCCAAGCCATTTGGATCATTGCCGATGTTTATCAAAGAAAGAAATGAGAGAATCTAGTAGCTGATATGGCGTTTGCAAATTTGTGAATTAAATTTCGAAACAAACTTAGCTTTACACAATATATTGATGAAGTTAAATTTACTTTTACATAGCAAATGAGACTATGTAATTCAAAGCCGTAAATAATCCTTTCAGTTGTTAATGTATTAACATACATATTGCCAAGTAATAGAATTCTTTACTTCTACTCTAGGTGCAAAAAACAATCTTGAGGTCACTTCATATTTAAAGAAATCAAAATAAATGTCCGTCATCGTTCTCCAGAAAAAATATCTTTTCTCTCACAACGCCTCATTCAAGAAAACAATTGATCATTTATCATTTTTTCGTAATTCTCTCTCTCTCTCTCTCTCTCTCTCTCTATATATATATATATATATATATATATATATATATATTTTATGTTTGATGGGATTATATATATATATATATATATATATATATATATAATCCCATCAAACATAAGGAAAGACATTTTTCATGGATAGAATCAATTTACGTTGTGATGTTGAGACCATGTTTTGGTACCAGCTATGGTATTCTTCATTAAGGATTCTGAGCATTTTTATTCTTAAGTAACTACATTGTCCTTATGTATTTTTCTTCTTCAAACGAGAAGAGAATAACAAGTGCTTTATTATAGAAAGTTTAAGTGAAAGTTATTTTTCTGGCTAAAATTTACAGATGACACTATTGAACCAGCGAGAAAAAGTAATTTAAATGTTATCTTAATAGTTTCGGACAGTGTTGCGCATCGAGCTCACTATCAATAGCGTTTAAAATAACAGATTTAACCAGGTGTATGTTAAGCCTGGTAAACTGAAGGAAAATTTCCAAATAATCTTTTATTTATATTTTGTTCTTTGCTAGTACCTTCATCACTCAGGTTTGCAGTTTTGATCGATTAAGTTAGATGCTTTACTAGTAAGATTTGTATGAGAAATATCAAATCACTGTAGGTAATATATATACCGGGAGTAAAGGGAGTATTAAAATCTTCAGTAATTTTCATTGTTTTAAGTTCTTTCGGCCACTTCTTTAACCATTTTCAAGGTGGTTTTGCTTTTGTTTTGAGTTTAAGTTGTATTTTATTTTAATGTTGTTTTGAACAGCCAAAACATGTAGAAAAACTAACAACACCAAAAACAAAAGACCCTTGAAAATGGCTAAAAAAGTGGCTGAAAGCACTTGGGACAATGAAAATTATTGAAACGTTTCATGCTTGAACACAATATTCAGGCCATAGTGAAATAACTGTCTCCTATTGGTGTCAACATCAGTATCCATATATATATATATATATATATATATATATATATATATATATATATATATATATATATATATATATATATATATTCAGTGTTGTAAAAATCATGTTACGATCATTTTCCAAGACATTGAAAATGTCCCTGTTTTCTCTAACCAACATCTATTGTTGCTGGAGGGAATTGGTAATTCCATTGGCCAAGACCCACGCTCATTTATAGCTGTATATACATTTCAATCACAATGTTGTGATCGAAAAATGCGAGTTCGCATAATTCAGGAAATAAGCAACCACATCTAAAAAAAGAAAAGAAAAGAAATAGTGCGTCCTTGGGATTAAATATTAAACACCGTGATTTATTTATTTATTCTTTTCTATATTCTCTTCTATTTATGTTATTTTACTTACGAATTTTTCTATCCCGAACATCCGACATATATGTGTAATTAGGAAGAATAACATGTCACTTCTTTGGAAAGCAGACGGCGTGCTAAGATTACTCGTTGTCGGCATATTACTTACAAAGTAAATCCTCTGACGGCTGACATTGGAATGATACTTAGTTGCTGGGACGTTGGAATGAAATGGGGTGGATTACATGAATGAATATACGTAAATGGTGTTGTATATATATATATATATATATATATATATATATGAACAAGTGAAATTTATGTATACACATATGCATTATTTCTATATATCATTCTACATATGTATATGCCTGTAAGTATATCTTCATATGTCTCAACTATAAGTTATTTATCTGATAGATATATAGATAGTTATGCATGACACTATGTTTATCCTTTCAGTAATTCCATGTCAGATAAGAATTTTAAACATCAAAATGTAATGCAGATAGATAGATAGATAGATAGATAGATAGATAATGATATCGTGAGGGAAATATTCACTTTTACGTAAAAAATCGACTTTTCAGGGTAGATTCAAAAGTAATTATGGAGAACTATATTTTATTTACATATTTGCCTGTGACATACTTGCCTGTGAAAAAAAAAAATCAACAACAAAAAAAAAAAAAAAACAAACAAACTGAAAACAAGTTTTTTCTGTGCACATTACACACAAAATTTAATCTGGGAAGTTCAATGAAAAATTGCAAATATTATTTCGATCATAATTTCCCCTCCAAACGGGTGAAAGTATTGTGTCGCCAATAGATAAATGTCTGCCGTCTTGTATCAATTTCAGACTGCTCAAATGTACCTAATTTCATTACAGTTTGTTCATGTATTTCCAGCGATGTCGTATTCTATGTAATTCTTATTTTTATCTTGGAGTTCCCACTGTTAAAAGCTTATTTTGCATCGGGACTCAATACATACGTCCAATGAAAGATATTAAGTATTTTCAAGTGAAAAGAGGACTAATACTAGAGAACTACAATTCGTAGGCCTATACAAAATTTCCTGTCCAAGAACCCTCATGTTATCCATCAAAAGTATAATCGAAAACAAAAACTTAAGGCTGAAATAGGTATGAGATTTTTGTACATATGCGATTCTATTAAAGAAAAGCAATAAAGTTTATTCTCTATTTCTTAGATTATCGTTATAATACATTGATTATTTTCGAAGACTGCCACTGTCTTGCTGCATATAAAGACCATTTCTGAACATCGGATTCAAAAAATATGCATCGGATTTTACGTAAAAATGATTATTTATCAATGGAAAATATTCAAATGATTAATTAGCATGATGAATTTCGCAGTATCTAAGGGATATATCTTAATAGCTGATTTAATCATAGTGCTCCCTTTAATATAACATTATGTAATAATGGATACGTTAAAGTAGATACCTCCACAAAAACAGAAAAAAACAACACCTAAGATGTAAAATGAATTTTTATGAATAGAAAATTTTTCTTGAAGCGATTATTTTATTTTTAATTTCAAGTTAATAGATTTCCAATAAGAAAATTACTTTGCTTTCTCAAAAACTAATTTAGAACTATTTTAATGGGCTGCAAGAATGTTTTTTGCTACTCATCATATTCTTTAGTAGTCTTTCATCGCAGAGTAATTCTCTTTATTAATAAATCTTCCTGTGGTAAGATAACCTGATTACCTCCCCTGTCTTATGATTTGTATAAATAAGTCCCGCCGTCTTAGCCAAAACGGCAAAACTCTTCAGTTACGTATGTTAAAGCCAAATTAAGCTGAACTAGACTCCGAATTTTCATTACAATTTATTGAACGTAATTATGGACAAATACATAAAGAAGAATGTCTTGACTTGGAATTTTTCGTGAAGAGACTAAATTTAGACGGATTTATCGGAAACTCCTTTATAAATGGATTAGAATAGAACTATATCTGTCAAAGATTGTTGGAAAATAAGCAACTAGATTTAGCTACTGCTCGCAAGCAGGCACTTACCTTGGAGGTTGTAGGATAGAAATCTTGTTCATACTTACAAACAAGTGTTGCAGAGACTGCACTAAAAACTCCCACTACTACCAGTCCACCAGTTCAAACGACCCAAACACGGAAAAAAGCGAGTCTTCTATGACCGACTTCATCATTTCTCCCCAACTCCGCCAGTTCAAAATCTTCTCTCTGAGGAAGGCACTGCATACACTGCTAGTGCTGCAGACAGACGAAAATGTTATTTTTGTGCTCTCAAACTACTCCCTAGATTGTGTTGCCCAAACAGGGAAACTAAATGCCACAAATGCGGGAAGAAGGGACATTTCTCTAAGGTTTATAGATCAAACTTTTTTTTCAGCTGGTTTGAATCTTACTATTGTGACTAGTATCAACGGCAAACCCTAAATATCTTTCAAAGGCTATATTATCGGTAAAAATAAACGGGGTAGAAATGAATGCTCTTAACGATATAGTAAGCTCGGTGAGTTTTATTAGCGTTGATATTGCAAAAGTAAACAAATTTATAATCGTACATTGTAAAAGTCAGGTGGCTATGGCGAACACTTCACTATCTTTGCAGGTTAGAGGATATATTTTGACTGGCCTAGAGTTGACTCAAACAAACTACACTAACACCAAATGCTTCGTGATGCCATATCTGTGCTGCGATATCATACTAGGCCATGATTTCCTCAGGCAGCATCCTAGTATTAATCTCCCTTTTGAGGGCCCCTAAACCGGAGTTTAACTTCTTTGGCTTGGCCGCTATAAATGTACAGTGCCATTTTCTTTTCCAAAACTTAATCAAAAACTGTAAACCAGTGGCTACCAAATCTCGAAAATATTCTCTTGAAAACAAAACGTTTATTCAAGTAGAAATAACAAGAATGTTAAGAGAAGGAATAATCAAAGAAAGTAGATCACTGCACGGAGGGCACAAGTATTAATAATGTCTTCTGATAATAATAAAAACGATGGTCATAGACTATTCCCAAACTATAAATAGGTACACCCTCCGGGATGAATGCCCTATACCCCGTATTGGCAAGATGATAAATAAGATCGCCAAATAACGAATATTTAGCACGTTAGACATAACGAATTTCTTAGCATCAAGTAGCTATAGACCCCAAAGATAAGCTTTGTACGGCTTTTGAAGCTTGCAGATTCCGTTTGGGGTTACCAACGGGGTTTCCAGTTTTCAGAGGATCCCCGATAAAAAAAAAAAAAACTACAAGAAAAAAACTACAAGAAAAAAAAAAAAAACTACAGGGCACCTTTGCCTACATAGATATAACCTGTGTGAGGCCATGACTGGGCTGACCACAATCGAAACCTAAAACGGTTTTCGGCGGCTGTCAAGAAATATAATGTTACGCTCAACCATGAGTTCGTATGGGTCGAGAACCATCAGATTACTTGGATATATTGTGGGTAAAAGAATCATGAAGCCTGACCCTGAAGGGCTAAAACTACTGCTAAAACTGTTCCCAACACCATAGCCACCGTGTGACGAAACATTGAATGTTCGATCATTATTCTCAATGGACACCCATATTTTCTGAGAAAATACACCCACAAATGAAAATTATCAAATTTCCTTTACCTTCATCTACCGTTGAAGACTTTGAGGGTTTAAAAAGGGATATTGCCAACTCATCCATCACTTCGGTGAATCCTGACATTACCCAAGAGGTAGAGATCGACGCTTCTGACTATGCCATTGCTAACGCGTTAAAGCAATTCGGGCGCCTTATAGCGTTCTTCTCCAGAACATTGCAAAAATTTGAGCGCAGGCATTCAGTTATCAAAAAGAAGTCTAATGTCATAGTAGAGACGCTAAAAACATGGCGACATTTCTTAACTAGTGACTGCTTTAAATTAATCACTGAAGAAAAGTCAGTTTCCTTTATGTTTAATTCCAAGATGTCAAGCAAAATAAAAAATGAAAAGATAGCGAGATGGAGGGTAGAGCTTTTCTATTTTTCGTTTGACGTTTTCTATCGATCTGGAAGGAAAATGCAACGAGTGTGTGGATCAATAAACAGCTCCAAAGATCTACATAACGTTCATAACGATCTCTGTCATCTAGGAATCACGAGGATGATGCACGTTGTTCAAAGCCAGAATTTGCCTTTTTTAGTTGAGGACCTGAAACGAAAAAGAAATGTCCAGATTAAGTGTAACAACGACCATACACTGTCTTTGCTCACGGTTCTCAATATTCATACAGATCGCGGGACCCCTTTTATATCCGACCAACTAAGATGATTCCTATTGGTACAAAAAATGGCCGTATGCTGTACTATCCCATACAATCCTCAAGGGAATGAACAATGCGAGAGATACAATGGCATAATATGGAAGACCGTACAGTTAGAACTTGAAAACCAAAACCTTCCATTTAGACAATGGGAAGACGTAATAACCGAGGCTCTGTACGCTATAAGAACACTACTGTGTACAAGAACTAATGTAACAGCTCAGGAAATGTTTTTAAAATTTCCAAGGTGAAGTTCAGCCGGGGGAGCTCCTGTTTTACTTAGAAACCATGATCGACAAAGCAGGTATGATTCACTTGTGAGTAAGGTGGAACTGTTCGAGGCGACCCCATTCTATGCGCGCATCCATCACCCTGACGGGAGACAATCGAACGTTTCTCTCGGAGATTTGCCCCCGGCCAGCGAGTTATCAAACCAGAAGATGAAGCAGCTCTCCCCTGAAGCAATATCTCTCCCCCTTGATAGTAACGACGACTCAATAACATTGTTCTCCTGGGTAACAAGGCCCCGATAATGACGAATCAGAGATCGGCACAAGAATAGCCGCCTCAAAATGAGAGCATACTACAACAGACTCTGATAATCAGCTTTCAGAATCAGAGCGTCCCACTCCAAGAAGGAAACAAAAACAATATGAGACGAAATACTTCCGGCTGAATGTTCCCGTAACACCTAAAAGCCCAGATCAGCTGCCACTAAGACGATCCCAGAGAATTGTCAAGAGATGATTTTGCGTCGGACTAGAAGAAAACAAAGCCGTGAAGAATGCGGTAAGACGACCCAATTGCCTCTTTTGTCTGATTTGTATAAATAAGTTGCGTCGTCTTAGCAAGAACGTCAAGAGTATTCAGTTACGTTCAATAAAGGCACATTAAGACAAACTATTAAAATGAGATTGTAAGAATTGGGTGGGGGCGGATAATAATGATTTAGTGATACAAACCATACTAATTAACCAATATCTGAAGGGAGAAAACGTGAATTTATAAGTAAGTGAATATAACAAAATCAACGGGAATTGGAACTCGGCTCTTCGATTAACAATATCGAGCCATTATCCATTACACCACGTGCACATTCAAGTTTACAGTACCTTGTATTTCAAAACAGTCACCCATCTGGGTATTGACCAGGTTCGACGTTACTTAAATTCAGTGATCGTACGGGAATCGATGTTTCAACGTAATGTGACCATATGCGAGATATTAGAATAACCCAAAACATTTAAGTGGTACA